TATAATATATATTAAATAATATCTAAATAATATATAATTAAAATAACAATTAAACATCGAGGCTAATATAAAAATATTTTAGACATTTTTTAATTATTTTTGTAATATTTAAATGTTTTATGATATAATTATAATTATTATATATTAAGAAAATAAAAAATCATTATAAGATAAAAAATTAAAAAAATTAATATAACTTTTTTGCAGAGAAAAAAATATAACGATGTAATTAAATTAAAACTAAATGTTAATCAAATATATTAAAATAAACTTAATTAATTCAAAAAATCATTAACCAAAAATATTAGTAATGATCTGCTAAAAAAAAATCCTTGTAAGTCATAATTCATAGGAAATAATTGCACATCTTATTTTAAAATAAGAAAAATAAGAAAAGTAATTCCAATATCTTTTCTAATATAACATAATAGTAATACAATAAAATATTTGACAAAATATAAATCTATAAATTAATCAGAAATCCTAAATTGCTTTCACGTTCATTAACATAGAGATGCAATTGAATCCTCTATACGAGATCTGTTGGCATTGGTAACCAGTAAAAGAGGCAGACGACAGCAGAGAATCAAGAATACCGGTCGGACGAACATAGAAGCGGGTGAGAGTGGGACAAAGATAAAAAAAGAAAAAGCAACAGCGAGAGGGAAAGGGAGGGAAAAGAGGAAGACAGAGAATAGTAACGCAGAATGCCCGGACAACGCTCCCGTGGAGCTGGGGCCAACTAACGGTCCACACCACCACCATTGGGACCATCGACTTCGATGGTCCTCATCCTTCTCCTTCTTCTCTTCCATTCGTCTTTCATTTATTCGTTTTTCTTTCCTCTTTTGCCTCTTTGATGTTTCCACAATATGCATTTTAAAAAGTGCGATATTATTCATTGCATTATAACTTGAAATTTTCTCCTAAAGCTGATTGAATCAAATAAAAAAAATGTGTACATTAACATTTATAAGTATTCGCTTATAATAGATATTTGTAGATATTGTTTAAATAGATATATAAAATATTATAATATATATATATATATACATATATATATATATATATAAACTTTTTTATAGATTTATTAGTTATATATTATAGTTATATTACAAAGCAATATTTATTAACAAATAATATTGTAATAACAATATTATTGTAACAAATATTATAATAAAATTGATACAAGAAATGAGCAAAATTATTTTTAAAGATAAATATTTTTACTTATAAAAGTTATATATATTATATGAAGGTGTCTATAATATATATATATATAATAAGAACATTTTTGTTGTGGATTCTTTCATATCAATGTTTTTATAATATAATAATAATTTCTTAATATAATAAAAATTTCTCATTTTTAAAAATAACAAA